CATCCCCCTAAGGTACATTTTGAGACATTTTTAATTTTTCTCAGGTAAACGTCATTTTGGTGACAATCATATGGTATTGTGGAGCGTCCGTCTTAAGTCTTATTGAATCTAAATTTGGTGTGCATTCATATTTCATATGGATGACCTTGACTTTAGAATCGCATACGCAAATTATCTTAAGAACCCCAACTTTTGAGGTTAAGGCACACGACCCTTCTTGGCCCTTTGACAAATCTATTTGTAACACTCTTGTCTACTCGTTGCCCCTATCTTACTTATGTCTCATTTCCTCTTCAGTGTACACATTATATGGTGTGTTGGATGACGTACCATCCTCCTCGATCGCGTCATGGCATTCTTTTATATTGGCTCTCACGTGGCCGAATGAGCGTCTCTTGAGGGTCGCCACTTTACTTGTCTCGATTTGAGAGTCACAACCTACTCTTTTCATAGTATAGTTGTGACACAGGGCATCCCACCTAGAAGAGGAATTAAGGGGCTCATTGCGCACCATATGGTGGGAGGTTATGGTCCCGTAGATTATAGTAGAATAGTACCTAGTAAACTTAAGTATAGTATCTTTAGGGCATTGGATGTGTAAGGTATGGTCTTGCATGGCCCTAGGGTATGCTTTTGGTGCATAGTTCATTAATAGCCCTAGGTTTACTTGAAATTTATGGCATACCCATGCCTTAAGGTAAGATTGAGCCTTTTCTTAAATACTTGGAATATCATGTAAGGAGATCTTAATGATGGTATGATCAAAGGTATGTAATTCTTAGTCCTAGATAATAGGGGCAATGTAGTAATTTTCTACTTAAACCATGGTTCAATTCCCAAACGCGGTCCAATTGTCATGAAAAATTATGAACTCCTAGAAGTCACGATTTAAGATCATGTATAAAGTTTCAAGTCATTTGGAGGCCATTAAAGTTGTAAACCGTAGGTAACATTTTGCAGGGGCATTATGGTCATTTGACCCATTTACTTGGTTTAGCTACTTAACCTTGTCTAACGACCTATATCTCATAATATTCTTAGCATTAAATTTTCATGGCAACGGAGTTCATTTAGTAGGTTGCTTTAACGTTACTTGAATCTCCTGCAAATCGCTCGGTTTAAGACCTTAACTCACAGTTCCTAGCTTAATTCCTTCACGATCCTTTAGTTCTCACTTAACTTAAGATTTATCTTGAAATCTAAACGATTATTACAAGTATTTCTTAAGAAAAAGACAAGATTTGCTATGTACTCTTGTTTGATGTTTGGGGCCTCATTTTTCGAGCTTTTGATACTTGATTTACTCCAAATTTCTTTGACATCTTCCTTACAAAGTTTAGTTTTTGGAACCTTTAAGAATTTCATAAGTACTAGTCCAAAAAGAGTTCAATTTGACAAAAATCTGAAGGGATGTCTGGTTTGCGATGATGTTGTCATTTCAATTGAACTGTCCATGTCATCGTCTTCTTCCTCTAAAAGAGGAAGAAGACATGCGTGCCATAACACTGTCGTCTTGAAACATCGTTCCCCAACCCAATCTAGGGCGTCGCTCCCCTTGATCCCTTCATGAATCTTGAAGATAGAATATCAAGGAAGAGCCAGAGGGTGATATCTTACATTTTGGTACACTATGGCATGAGATATGGCTACTAAAAGTCGACCAAAAGCTCTCTTTTTCGTCAGAATAAACTTAGAACCGTGTTCTAATAGTTAGGGTGTTTGAGACACTTTCAGACTGAACTTTCTTGACCAAAATTTTCCCTTTCACTTTTCTCATGCTCAAGAAATAGGTTTGGGATGACAAATTTGAGTAGTTAAAGCCCATTTTGAAGTTCCCTTCTCAATCTTTAATTTACCCAAAAACGCAAAATTTGACCTTATTGGGCAGCTCGATCCGGACAAGTGAGTCTTAACTCCATAAAAAAATACTCTACTCAATCTCTTAAAACTAATAGAATGCTCAATTTTGAATAAAATGTACTAGAAACAAGGATTCAAGTTTTACCCCCAAAACTTACTCGAAAGTATAGGAATTGGTTTATGATTAATAATAAGTAAATTGTATTAGAGAATAAGTGATACTTGTATAATACCTAATTATATAGGTAAAATGAACTTTTTACCATTGCGAACAACTTAAAATTACATGATCCTTCTTCAAAGATCACGTACTCAAAATTAAAAACTTTCAAAGTCATGAATCCGAAGTATTGGAATCAATATTCATGCACGAAGAAAACTTTTTCAAAACCCTTTGTTCCTCCTTCGTCCTCCTACAATAGATATTATTAGATGGCATAGTTCAATGTGATTTGGTATCAAAACTACGAGCATTCATGGTTCATTCCGTTCTCCGTAGGTTTAAATTATTAAAAACAAAATTAACTTTTTAAATATTGGGGGTTATTAATATTTGAACCATTTGTGTTTAAATATTAATTAAAATGTCTTTTTAACATATATTTTGTTGAACATAATGGATAATTATTATGCATCTTTCATTGACTATGCTTAAAATTGAAATCCCACCTTAAAAAGTAAGATTAATGTAGCCCAAATTGTTCCCTTGAAGCTTATGTGAATGTGACTTACCATATTTTCTTTATCCTAAAATAATCATAATATCTTCATCAACCTTTATATATATATATATATCTAGGACCACAAAAAGAAAAATGAATAAAGAAAGAAAAGGAAACTATGAAGTACACAACTCCGAGCATCGACTTTGGCTACTGATACAGGTACCATGCTGTCAACTATTGGTCGTAGGGACTAGATTCGCTTGATGCTTAAATTATCTCAATTTTCAATTAACTATCATAAAAGTCTCCTTAACTATGATAGTAATTCACAAGAGTCATATTTAAAATATAGATCATAAATATATAAGTGGTAGACAATGATCTTTATTAATATGAGACATTTGATGAAAACAAAAAATCAAACCAACGAGAATGGCACACACATTGGAAATGGGTTTCACCCGAAACATCGAAACAATTCTCACCCATGTCTTGTGTGAATGAAGTCGGCACAAGATAGTGTAGGAAAATCTGTGGTTAGATTGAATCCTTCGCAATGTCTAACTATGGAAAAGCACCTACTTCTAACAAAAGCGTGCATCCGTTTTTAGTAGAACGGGTTATCGTGAACAATATGACATGACACGATTGTAAACGGGTTATCGTGATGTGGGTCATTAGTGGTTGTGTCATGATCAGGTGGGGTCTTGGTGGATACAAAAGAAATTTGCCCATCTTTTTGTGTTTAATTGAGTAGCATTCCTGTGTTTAGCTTTTTCATTGAATTTCATCCTCAATTATTGTCCACCTGCACACATCAAATCCAAATCTGCACCTAAATATCATCCTTTCTTTAGTTTTCACAGGTAGGGGCTGCATCAATTCCCTATTTTGATATCAAAATGAGATACTCATGAATTGGGATCCAAGGGTGGACAAAAGTTTGGGTACTTTTGATTTTAGTTGAACTTATGAGATTTGCTTTCTATTAGTTGTTCATTAAGTGCCATTTTCGTTGACCACTTTCAATGGTGAGATTCCACATCGATTAGAGAGAAGAACGAGTGTCAGCGAGGACGTTGGGCCTCGAAGGGGTGGATACCGAGCGGTGTGTCAGCGAGGACACTGAGTACCGAAAAGGGGTGGACTCCGAGCGATGTGCCAATGAGAACGTTAGGGTCCAAAGGGGGTAGATTGTGAGATCTCACCTCGATTAGAGAGAAGAACAAGTATCAGCGAAGACGCTGGGCCCCGAAGGGGGGTGGATTGTGAGATCTCATATCGATTGAAGAGGGGAACGGAGCATTTTTTATAAAGATGTGGAAACCTCTCCCTCGTTTTAAAAACCTTAAGAGAAAGCCCAAAAGGGAGAGTCCAAAAAGGACAATATCTGCTAGTGGTGGACTTGGGTCATTACAAATGTTATCAGAGCTAGACACTAGGCGATGTGCCAGCAAGAAGGTTGAGCTCCAAAAGGGGTGGACACAAGGAGGTGTGCCAGTAAGGACGCTAGGCCCCGAAAGAATGTGGATTGTGAGATCCTACATCGATTGGGGAGGAGAACAAAACACCATTTATAAGGGTATGGAAACCTCTCCCTAGAAGACGCGTTTTAAAAACTTTGAAGAAAAATTGAAAACGAAAAGCCTATAAAAGACAATATTTGGTTACCGTGGGGTTGAGCTGTTAGAGGTGTATACCAATCTTTTGCTGAAATATGTACTCAACTTCCATATACCAATGATCACTCACATATCCGCATCAAACACTGGAGATCATATCTTTTCAAGGCACTAAGATATGTCTGTAGAAGGCAAACATGACAGAGAAGTTTCTATGATTATGCTGTTTTCTTTACTGTAAACACACTGTCATAGCGTCTCTATTTCCCCCCCAATCAGCTCCTTTCATATGATTTCTTCTTGTTTACTCCCATCATCAATTACATTCCAACACAAAGTGCTCCAATTTTCTATTCCCAGAGTTCAGGATGTTCTCTAAATTGCCTTGTTACTGTTTATTGATTCAAACCAGCTACATGATTGTCACTCTAAACTTAACTAAATGGTGATGCATTATGATACTGCTAGAATTCAGATTGAAATGCTGCCACATACCCCACTTTAACCCCATTTTAGTGCTACTTTCATACTGAAATTTGTAAGTTTTAAATTGATTGTGGTGGAAATTGGGTATGTAGCACTCAACCAGTACATCCACTTTCTCCACTCACCACAAATCCCTCGAAGTTATATTCAAAATGGTTTGAGGTTCTTATGAAAGAGACCCATAAGCTAAAAAATCTTCCATTTTTGTAAACAGAACACAAAAACTATGTTCTAAAGCTGCTTAAAAGTCAGCATTTTCAGTGTATCTTTTGAAATATTTAAACTAATCCCGAGGATAAGGATGAATGATCCAAGCAACGAGGACAAATCCATTAGCAGATCTTAGAATAAACTAAGACATTCGCACTAAACTCATCAAAGTGGCCATTCATTTAAACATCAGTTGGAAGATAGATAGCAAGTTTGATCAAAATATTGTAAATAAGCTAAGAAGAACACATATATTTGGTACTCATTTTTCACCTAATCTTATAAATCTCTTTACCCTCTTCTTTCCTAAGCCTTTTCAACAACTTAATAGAGTGATGAAGAAGCTCAAACTCTCCTTCCACAACCTTTCATATTCATATACATATATGATAGATAGATACATACATAAGTAAAAACCAATCAACAATCAACAATCAGCAATCAGCACAGCCTCTAAATTGTGGCCTTGGCGTGTGACGATTGTTGGCTCCAGATCCAGGATAGTCATTGAGTTCCACAGCCATTCTTCCATGGTTCTCTTCTTTCTTTGTTGCACTCACCTGCATAACACAAATGAACAATGTTATGAAGTTAAGTTGAAAGCTAAGATTTTGAAGGGACATAGAGAATTGGGTTGATGGGTAACGTAAAATACCATGTGGGTATCGCTTGAAACGTGAAGAAATTGATCAGATCCATGCAGGAGGCTGACACTTCCTACAGAAACAGAACAAAAGCAATTAGTTGATGATAATAAGAAAGAAAGAAGACAATAGTGAGATGATTTGTGAGGCTTACTTGAAGTTGGGACAGCATTGGAACAGAGAAGGTTAGAAACTCCCAAGAACACAACAAGTAAACAGAGGAAATTAGTGGTAGCCATTGGAGAAGCAGCTGCTCTCTGCTCTCTGCTCTCAAAGGCGATGGCTTGATGGGTGGTTTAGGAAGAGGGGACTCAATTTATACTTGGGTACACGTTATGAGTACTCCAAATGAGGTGGTGGGGTGTAATGTGTTGTGAGATTGCTACACGAAGAAGTCAAAAGAAAGTGATATGAAGAAGAACAGATTGTGTTTGGAGAATGAAAGGTGAAATGTTGGGAAGTGGAGGGAAAGGGGAAATTATGATGAATTTAAAAGTCAATAGGGTGAGAAAAGCTGGAAGACAGTGTGGGAAAGTGGAGGATGACAGAAGAATGTGTGAGGAGAGGAAAGTGATGGTGTTGCACTAATTTATAAGGTCAATGGGTTAGTGGGGATATAATTATAATCATTTGGGTGTGAGCTGGGAATGTTTCAGCCAATGTTTGTGTCTTTTATTATATGGGGAGAGGGGTTTGGGGAGCTGCAATATCTTACAAGTTTCACTAGGTGCCACATGAACAGGCTAGTGGGTTTTCACCCAAATTTGCACCAAACTATGTGGTACTAGTTTTCCCATTACATGTGGGTATTCATGCATGTGAACGTCGGTGTAACAGTCCAACCCCACCGCTAGTACAGCTTTGGCCCGTTACGTATTGCTGTCAGTTTCACGATTTTCTATACCTTTATTATAAATGATTTGTTTTCCTCTCCAAACGATGTGAGACCTCACGGCTGAGGAGAAAGAAGAGAAGACTATTAAGTACTTGGTAAGGGAGAATTGAGCAGTGGTGTATGTTTAAATTAGCCCAAATTCGACATGATCAAGTGAAGTTGTGAATAGCAATAATCTCAAACTTTTTATTTGTAGAATGTTATTAATTATTAGTTTGTTGTTGTTGCTCAAACTCGATCTATGTTTAGGGCTATGTGTCGTCTATTCATAGTTTGAAGGTAAGTTTTACGGCTTGTACACGTGGGTTGCATCAATGAGTTATTACGAGAATAAATGAAGTTTTTGAAAAAATAGGAGGAAGATCTCGGGAAGGATAAGAGTCATAAGGCTAAAAAGATAATGTCAACCTTATTGAGCTCGTGTTTCCATTTGCTTTATTAGAAAAACTAGCTGGACTTATCCTACCTGATTATTGAGTCAAATATGCTCGTTTTACACGGATGTATAGATTTGATCACTGATATTTGGTCTAAATCCAGCTAAAAAGTTTTCGAATAATGTGCCTAATTTGTAAAAAAAAAAAAAACAAATCAAAACGTGTGGATAAATATTTTGTGTTTCACTTATTATTATTATTTATAAAAATTAAAAAAAAAAATTGTTTCACATTTTTTAAAGAAAAAAGTGTAATGCGATTTCCCCGTCTTTTCCGCCTCCCCGACTGAATTTAAAAATAGAAAAGAAAAATAATAAAGTGAGAATTGACTTTGGAGAGTCATAATTTAATTAAATTACTAAAGTAAATTCTTCTTTTTATGTTGACTTTATATTGTATTATATTATATCATATTTTATGGTAAATTTAGGTGCTTCTTTCTTAGAATGAGACTTCATTATTCACTAAAAACCTACCTTACTTTATAATATATAATTATGGACACTTGCTTATATTATAATTATATGTATATATATAAAGGGGTTTATTTTAATTCTAAAACATAGGATTTTACTTTATTTTCAACAAAAAAGATTAAATAAATACAACATAAAAAGTAAATTAGTGCCTTTAAAATAATATAAAATATTAGAGGTGTACGTAGGTTAAGTTTGATTGGATTCAAAAGTCCTTTCAACAAACTCGAAATTTGGGCTTGTTGTTGACCTATTTCAATTGTTCGCACATCTTGGACTCGGCCACCGAGACTTGCAACGTCGCATCTCGTCTTGTTATCTCGATCCCCATCAATAAGGTCCATATGTCTTGACGCCGTCCTGAGTCTCGGGATGTCGTCGGCCATCACAACTCGTTCGGTCATGTCATCGAGAACGGACCCGCGTGTCGCTCATCTCGTCGGGACTTCCCGAACATCCATCCATCCGGATTCTATCGATACATTTCCCTCCCGTGCCCATGTCGTGTCATTTATGGATACCGTGTCGGATAGCAGGTGTATGTAGCAACCTCCAACACACAAGCTGTGGCACAATACCAGCACACCCATGTCGCCCAGTACTATCCTTGAAAAATCCATTTCAAAGAAGGTCATCTGAGACACTCGTCTTGGTACGCTCGCCCACACTGTGACACCATATGTGTCATAAGGTAGCTCACTTAGGCCACAACGCTCAGGAGTGATGGAGAGCTAACGTCATGGAATAAAGTTTACAACCCAACCCAACCTAACTCTCTTTTTTTTTTTTATTGTTGTAATGGGTTTGATGGTCAAGTAGTTCATTAATAATAATAATAAAAGAAATAGTAAGCAATTTAGTTGAAGGAGTATCAAACCAATTGACTCGATAATTGGGCTTTATGGATCAGATCTTTCTCAACAGTCCGAAGCCCATTATATATCAAATTTAGGCCCAAATTCAGGCCCACCTGGATCAACAAGATTTCTTATTAAAATGCCAATTAACCTTGCATGCAAAGTAATTAACAATTACATTACAATTAAATTGAATTAAAAATTAATATACGTAAAATAAGAAGAAAAAAAAAAAAAAAACATTGACCCATATTTTTTCTCAATACAAAAATAATTTAAAATTGAGAAGTCAAAATTTGACATCACAAAATTCTTCTTTTTCTTAAAAGAAGGAATTTATTTGGAAAAATTCATTCACTTTTCCTCCAATTGAAGTTTTTTTTTTAGTTAAAAAAAAAAAGAACATTTAGATATTGATTAAAAAAAATACTTTATGGAAATGCATGCATTCAAACATTCTGAGTCAACGTCATAGGTTGACTTCAAAAACCTTGTCTAGGTATATGTTGACTTTTAGAGTAAGGCAGTCGAACATTTATATCTTTATCTATAGGTGGACGAGTTAAGATCAATTACATTATTCGTTAGTGATATTTATTTAACTTTAGAGTTTGAAGCTCTCTAGAAACCTGTCCGGAGTAATATGAAAAATTCTTGCTTGAATGAAGAATGGAGAGAGATTTTTCTCCGTTAACTAAATGAGACTGGATAATAAGGAGATTATATTCTCATGCTACATCCATACCCTAATTACTTTTTGTTCATAAATATGAATATCTACGTGGCACAGAAAAAAATTTGTAAATATAAATATATAAAAGGATTTTTTTTTAGCAAGCTCAAAAAATAAAATATAAATTAAAAAAAAAGGGACAATTAAACCATGAAAATCCAACCAAATAACAAAGGTCCACGTGGAAGGCGGCAGCCAAACTAGTAGGGCATCGCATCGGGTGCACCAACTTTTGGTACACCCCAGAATCAGAAAATGGAAGAAAATCTTTTGTGTCCACATAAACTTATGGCTCACAATCAAATACACTCGCTGACGTGGCACCCACCTCTTTTAACGGATTCATCGTCAAACTTCCCCCTCTTAACACTCCCAAAAATCCCTTCTTTCCTTCAACTTCCAACTCTTCTTCTGCTTCTTCTTCTTCTTCTTCTTCTTCTTATTCCTCCTCCTCAAACCAATCATGTTCGATTCTTCCAAGGACCCTTCCTTTACGCTTTTCGGCCGCAAAATCCCACTTTCCGACGACGGAGAGCCTCCGCCGATCCATTCCCACGCCCACGACTCCCCTTCTGACAAAGATGCGCCACCCGGAAAGGTACAGGGTTGCCCTACACACACAGGACGCCGTAAACTTCCATGGCTCTTCTCTTATATTTTAATCCAACTCCTACCCACTTCACCAAATGGGTATACAAATTTTGGGTCGTTCTTACTTTTTCACTTCCGTTTCTGCTTCCTCTGTGCTTCTCAAAAAAACCCTCTTTTTTTCTTCCTCTGCTTTAACTTTTTGGCTGTTCATGAATCCTTTGAGTCTTTCGTTTTTCATTCTATTATGTTTTTCTTTGCTTATACTGTTAGGAACTGATCATTTCCTTTTGGGGAAAATTGAACTTTTTGGCCTATGCTGAATTCTTCTCTTCCTCTGTTTTTTTCTCAATCAGTTTTCCAATCATTGACAGAAAAAAGTTACTAATTTACTCGAAAGGGAAAAAGGGTTTTTCTCAAATGTTAACCTTTGTTCTATCTCAATTGGGATTTCAACGATGAACCAAACAGTAACTGGATTGGCTTAATTTCTTCATTTTTTATGGATCATAAAATTTTGTCTCTGTTTCTCGATTTCAGGAATCAACGGTAGATGATGATGATGAGAAAACTGTTGATGATTCAGATGATTCGATAAATCTAGACGCAGGGGAGGAAGTTAGCGTGAATCCCAAAACGCCGTCTATTGATGAAGAAGAAGCTGCGAACCCCATTAATGGAAAACCAGAAAGTGAAAACTCCAATTCAGAGAAAACCCTGAAGAAGCCTGATAAATTGCTTCCATGTCCTCGATGCAAGAGTATGGAGACCAAGTTCTGTTACTACAATAATTATAATGTCAATCAACCTCGCCATTTTTGTAAAGCTTGTCAAAGATACTGGACCGCCGGCGGCACCATGAGGAACGTGCCGGTCGGAGCTGGTCGCCGTAAGAGTAAAAACTCTGCTTCGTATTACCGTCACATCACAATCTCTGAGGCTCTTGATGCTGCTCGAATCGAGCCTCCAAATGGAACCGACAAACCAAAATTCATCTGCAACAATGGGAGAGTCCTGAGTTTCAATATGGAGTCACAGAATTCTGAACCCATGGTGGGCTCTGTTTTGAACCTTGCGGAAAACAGAGTTTTGAGTAATGGGGTGAAAAAGTTTGAAGAAAAAGGGTCTGAAGTGTGTGATAAAAGCTCGAATTTGTCATCTATGGCAGTTCAAAGTTCATCAGAATCTCATACACAGAAAATCAATGGCTTCCCATCTCAAATTTCATGTCTTTCTGGTGTCCCATGGCCTTTTGTTTGGAATTCATCCGTTCCTCCACCAGCCTTTTGCCCACCAGGATTTCCCTCCTTAACGTTTGTTCCAGCAGCTGCGTGGAACTGTGGAGCTCCAGGACCATGGAACACGACATGGTTTTCCCCACAAGCTTCCTCTGCAGAGAAATCTCTCTGTTCTGACACGAAAGCTTCTTCAACACTGGGAAAGCATC